GTGAGCAGGGAAGGGCTGTGTGCCAGCCGGGGGTCTCTGATACCAGTGAGGCCTGACAGTCTTCAGAGCCGGTCCACACTGCCCTCGGGGCCTCCCCTGGGGTGGCCTGTGGTGGGCGACACAGCTGTCCTCCATCCAGGCCCCCCCTCAGAATGGATGCCTGGGGCCCGAGGGGCGCACTGCAGGCGAGTGGCCCTGGGCCTCCCTCCTAGAGTGGCCATCCTGCCCTGGCTGCAGGGCCTAACCCTGGGCACAGGGACAGAGGACACAGGGCAACGCCCACCCCACATGGGGGCCTCTGCGGGGGCTGAACATGAAGCCCTCTGTTCTCTCCAAGCCCACCACCTCAGGAGGGGTGTCCCAGGACTCTGGGCACCCAAGGGCCCCCCATCCTGCGCCCTTTTCCTCCAGCCTTGGGGTGGGAGGGGGAGGAGGTGGGGTTCAGGGGAGTCCAGGACAGGTTCTTGATGGAGAATAGAAGGACAGGAAGGGGACAGCATGGCCCCTGGACCCCCTACCCTGGTGGGTGGTGTGAGCTGGGAGGGGGCTCAGCACATGGTTCGGAGTCAGTAAGCCAGGCCGCGTGCACAGCTCCTGTTACCCCCACAGGTGGGCACAGACATGGGCTGTGTTCTTGCTGGCACAGAACACCGAGCACATCGCTCTCCAACTCTGGTTGCCATGGGGATGCCATTTGCTCTGGAGAAAGGAGGGCCAAGTCCCCGGCACTCCCCAGCACTGGCACCCAGCTCCCCACAGCTGCCAGGACGGGGTTATGCCGTGGCAGCACCCCTGGGTACCCCTGCGCCCTCCTGGCGCCCTCGCCTTTACTACACCACCTAGCAGCTGGTGGTTCCGCCTCCACCTCCTCCGTCGCCCTCCGCGGGCTCCCCGCCCCCACTGGCCCTGTGCTCACATGACAGCCGAGCCCCCCAGAACCTCCCATTCTCCACCCCTTTGTCTCTTTAGCTGCCCCCCCTCCCCCCCTCCAGCCTGCCAGGCCTGACGATGGCTCCTGCAGGCCCTCCTAGTGACTCTTGGCTTTGGACACCAGGTGCTGACGTCCGTGGCCTCCACCCAGACCTTGGCCCCTGGACCAGGCATGAAGCCATTGGCTTTCTCCACAGGATCCACCGCCCTGGGCCCAGCCCCTGTCGCCATCTGTGCCAACACCCCAGGACTTGGCCGTGCCTTCAGGGCTGGCGGTTCTGAGGCTCCCGTGTTCCCTCAGGCTGGGGCCCTGGGGTGCTTTTCACAGGTGTCTGCACAGCTGCCCTTCCTTCCATGTTCCCTCACCAAGTGTCTGTCAGGCCATATTTAGGCCAGGAGCAGAAACCTTCTTATCTCAAAAGCCATCTTGTCTTGCGTTGGACTTCATACCTGCTGGCTTGCGTTTGTCTCCTGGGGGCTTATGGTCAGCGGGCCTGGGTGGTCCAGAGGGCGGCCTGGGGGCCAGGATGTGGAACCGGAGGGCTTGGTCATGCCCCCAAACCCTTTGTGGCGAGAGACAATGCAACCCTCCACCCCCCAACCCACCCCGAGCATTGCAGGGGGAACAGCCCTGTTAACCTGCCCATAAAACTCCACACGCCTTTTTGCTCGGGGAGGTGGTGGTCTTTTCTAGCCTGACCTCCCGCAGCCCAAACACGCCCAATAAACTCTAACAGATCAACTTTAGTCTCCTGTGACTCACCCCTCCATTCCTCCGGCCGAGCCTAACAGTGTCCTGAGAATTTTGGACCTGTGAGGTGTGTCCACGGTCTATGCCCAGGTGTGGAGATAGATTTAGGGTTACAGAAAAACACGATAAATTCAGAGGAAAACAAACATTTGGAATAACAAAGTCTGAGGCCCCAGTGGGTCGGGGAGGTCCCCACATGTGGCACTCAGCGTCCCCCCACCCCACCCACACCAGGGGCTCCTTTCTGTCTGTAAATGGATGAACAGTTTGCCGCCCGTGGTCTGCTTGGTCGGTTGGTCGGTCAGAATGGCTGTCTGTTCCCTGACAGCAGAGCTCGGCGCCCGTGTGTGTCCTGTTGACGTTCAGAGGAATGGCATTTCGGAGCCATAACCACGGCGCTTGGCCCCGGCCTATCCGTCGCACTGTGTCTCCTCGAGGACCCAGGCAGGTGCCTGATTCAGGCGCAGGGAGGGATGACACCAAGAAAGCAGAGGAAACCCTGCCGCCTGCTTGGTGGGGCTCCCTGCCTCAGGGTGGGGACTGGTAAGGGCACTATGTGTGGAACTGAATGGGGACCCCCGGGGACGGAGGGAAGGACCACCCACACACCACCCAGGGCCTGGGGCCATGCCCCCATTCAGGGGGCCACAGGTGGGTCAGTGTCTCAGGCATCCTGTCTCCATCTGGAGACCACATCTGTCACCTGGGCTGGGGTTGGGGGCTGACGTAGCAACTCAGACCCAGCAGCTTTTTGGAGTGGCTGCTGTGTACCGTTACTCTGTGTGTCTGGAACGTTCCACAAGGACATGGCAACCAATGAAATGTTCCCTGTGAAGAGAGCTGTGCCCGAAGGGACCATGGCTTCATGGTGGTGATGTCCTTCCCCTCGACCTTGGGTTTGGCTGTATGGCTTTATTAGTCAGTGAGATGCGAGGGACTGTGATATCACAGGGCGTGGGGTGTGCTCATGGCCGCCCACTGTCCTCCATGGAGAGGGTGTGTCCGGTGGCCGCTGGGGCCAGAACAAACAGCATGCCAGGAACAGCCCGAGGGCACAGCCAGCCGCCCACAGACCCCTGAGTGTGAGGTTGCCTGGCTTCCGAGGGTATGGCGGCTTGTCACACATAGTTAGTGAGAGAGTCACTGACTAACACAGGACCCAGGTGGTTTTCACTTTACCAGCCTGGGAGTCAAGGTATGACCTCACCTAGGTCTGTGCTTCCTGGATTTTTGGTGAAGTGGCACCTTTTCTTGGCAGCACCTTTCCTTTTGTCTTTATTTCTTTTCAACCCCACCCCCAAAGTGAAATACATGGTGCCTGGCTTCTGCTCCCCCAGAGCAAGACCCCTCCCAGAACCCCCACCAATATGTGGGGGTGGCAGGGCCTCACGCTCTTCCTCCCGCACCCTCTTAGTCCAGCGCTGTCCTGGGAGGGCAGACTCCCCAAATGCGGGAGGCCAGCTCCCGCAGGTCCAGGGGTTCCCTTTGTTGGAGAAACTGGCGAGAGGAAGGGAGGGAGACAACGAAGAGAAAAGGGGGAGCGGAGACACAGGGAGCGTTTTCAAGAAGTGTCTCTTTATTTTTGCAGCATGTCCCCTTTTATTCCAGACAGTTGATCATTACATCATTGAGCTGTTTTTTCCAGAGATAAACTTTTACCCATTTGTCTTCTACATAGTTTTATTGTTCTTTCCTTCCCAGGGTCTATTCTCTTTAGAAGTTTGTTTTTCTTAGCGATTTACTACCTCATGCTGTTTCTGTTACAGGGTACAGCCGAATCCGTTCTATACTACTGACTAACTTAACTTATCTTTACCTTTGATGTTTGCTGAGTTTCTGCCTTGGCGCAGGGAGGATGTTTTATGGCCATTAGCAGTTATCTCAAACACCATTTGCTGAGCAGGAGCCTGAGACCACAGAGTGCATGCTTTTCTTATTACTAAGAGATCAGGAGACTAGCAGTGTGACTAAGATTGCTTTTAGTGTATAAAATAGAGTTATAGTGATATATAAGACTTACTAAATTGATTAAGGTAAGTAAAATAATTAATATTGGGAGGGGTATCAGGTCTTCATCCTACTGAGAGTGTCTAAAGGGGAATGTAAATTTCCTAAGGGATAAAGCAGTATCTGTTTCTCAGTCAGAGCTTCAGAATTTATTACAACGGCCGTGCGCTTGGCATGTCAGACCCTGAGGCGCAGCCGGCTCCCAACACCTGCCCACTGAGCCGTGACCTCAGGAGCACCTGCACGGTGCCATGTGTGCCCTGCAGATGCCACCAGTGGACAGGATGGACATCTCACGCCACGCCGGGCTGGACAACTGTCAGAAGGGCGTGGCTGTGTCCCAAGGCTGGGCTCCTCCCATAGCAGCCCTTCCCCCCTTATTTCTACGGCATCCACGACACCAGTCACCGGTCATGGCAGGGGGGCCACCGATGGGTTACACCAATCTGGGAACCGAGATTCAATTGGCACAGAGAGGGGGCCTGTGGGAAGGTGGCTGGACACTTGCTGGAGAAGAGGGCCGGCAGTGTGGCGAGGGGTCTCAGTGACGCCCGGGCCATGTACCATGGGGCTTTTTGTCTTTTTCTTATGGACTAAACTCTTTTTTTTTTTTAAATAGATGGTTGGTGTCATGCTTTAGATGATCAGTATCATGCTTCATTGAATTTACTTTTTTTTTTTTAAGGAGGGCGCAGCGCACAGTGGCCCATGCGGGGATCGAACTGGCAACCTTGGTGTTATTAACACCATGCTCTAACCAACTGAGCTGACCGGCCACCCCTGGACTTAACTTTTGGTTAAGTGCTGTAAACATTTCCCCCAGTCCGTCATCTGTTGTTTGTCTTCAAATTATATTTATTTCCTGAAGAAAGAAATGAGCTTTCATGCAGTAAAATCTACTAATATTTTTGTTTATTTCCTATGATTGCGTTGTCTTTTGAAATTTTTTTTTCCAGCCCAAGATGTAAGAAATAACAAACTTTCTCCTAGAATAAAGCAAGCTTTTCAGAAGAAAAAGGAGACAAACCCTTGAATTTGGGGTCATATTTTCCTTATTCCTCCTCACAGCTATTGACTGACTCTCAATCTTCATTTGACACAATAGTGTTTGTGTCCAGTCTGAGCTCTGGATCTAGAGGCCCTGGATGCTGCCGTAGTTGCCCCAGCCCACGGTGGGCCCTGGCTTCTGGGGGCGGGCCAGGGTGAGCAGGTGTGGCTGGTGAGACGCGCCAGGAGCAGTGAGTGGTTAGGAGTGGAGACCGAGGAAGAGGCCTGCTCCCTGTCCAGCTCCAGTTGGGCCCCGGGGAGGGAACTCAGCATTAATCCCTCCAATTGGGGTGAGGGTGGAGGGCGTGGCCTCATACCTGAGCAGGCAGGTGAGCACCGGGGAGTCAAGTTCATTCTCTGCCAGCAGCCGTGAGCCTGGACCACCATGCTGTCCTCGTTGGGTGCCACACAGAGGTAAGGCAGGCGACAAAGTACTTCTTTAATCGTCCGACATTCTGAGAACCTGCAGAAAAGAACTGTCCTGTGTGTTATCTTTAAGAGGAAGTCACCGTGGGTTTGGAGCTATTTCCCACTAACCCTTCCCTGAACTCACCCCTCACTGGTCCTGGGCCCCTGGGGAACACAGGCTTAGGGGCAAGAAGAGGATAATTTAGTTTGAGCCGAAGGCCTTGGTGGCTGGCTGCTGGGGACCTGAGCCCTCCTGTCCTCGGCCCTGCGGTCACCTCCCTGTGGCCATTCCCCTGTGTTTGCAGCCACCCTCCAGGGAGCTTCCTGGAGTTAGTTGAGCCTCCACCCTGAGCTCCTGACACTCATCGGGGCCAGTTACCTGCGTGTGCATTTTAGGATGCTCTGGGGGGCCTGAGTGACTGAGAGTGCGCCCCCTGTCATGGAGTCCGGCGTCCCTGCCTGCCAGCTCTAGGTAACGAATGGCTGTGTCCCATTTAGATTCTCAGGCACTTAGAGGTTGGGAGGGAGGTGGGTGTGGTCTGGAGATACTTCGCATTTCACTTCCCTGCCTCACCCCACATGCTCTGAAGAGAGTCCAGCGTCTCTGGGTGCCCTCCACTCTACCCATCCCCACCCTCCCCGGGGTGGGGGTGACCAACCTCTTTGAAGCGTGAGAGTGAGGACGGTACCCCGGGGGCCCAGCCAAGATGGGGGAGGGTCCTGGGTGTCCCCCTCCTCGTGGACACAGATGTTGTCACCACACTGTGAGGAGGAGGCATGAAGGCTGGGGGGGGGTCACTCCATGAGCTGGGGGCCAAGCCCAGGTTTCGCTGGCTGCCCCCGTCCCCTGTGCACATGGCAAGCGAGGGACCAAGTGGGAGCCCAGGGCATAGGTTGCCCGGTGGGACAGCAGATGTCAGCTCTGACACAAGACCAGGTCACTCTCAGCGTCTCAGGTTCACGGGTTCGGTGCAAAGTCCTTGAAGGAACAGGCTCCTGAGTCTCTTCAGCCACACAGAGTCCCTGTCCCCACAACCCTAGTGACACTGACACCCAGAGGCCCTTGTTTATTTTCCCCAAACTGTGCAAACATTTGCAGGCTCTTTGGGCTTGTCCCAGCTTGTTGACAGGTGGAGTGAGCCACGGCCCTGGGACAGAGGGACAACTGTGAGCAGGCTCAGCAGACAGGAGCCATGGGGATAGAGAGGGGGACAACTGTGTGCAGGGTGGCCGGGCGGGGGACCTAGTGGCCCTGGGTGGTCAGAGGAGCTGTGTGCAGCAGGGCCAAGGCTCCCTGGGTGACGTGTGGCGTCTCGGTGAGCCTCCTGACCTGGGATGGATTCAGGCACAAACCCTCCTCACCTGTCTCACAGTTCTGGGCACCCCTGATCTGGGGGCATCTCCCCAGGCTCCTGTAGCTGCTGGGGACCCCAGCCCAAGGCTGTGGAGTTATTGACTCTGTGGCAGCTGTTGGATGGGCATGCAAATGTCTGAGTCCCGGCCTTGGGACAGGCTCTCTGAAAACCCAAGTTTCTAGTTGTTTGAGGCTCAGTTCTGTGGAGAGAAAACAACCTCTGCAGTGCTGAGGCCTGAGCAGTTGCGCCTGTGGGGACTGTGTGACCCGTGAGGTACTGTGTGCTTGGCTACCACCGGACTCTGAGAGGACCCCACTCACTGTTTAGGCAGAACCTGATGCCCCTGCTGGGAGGGACACTGGCACCTTCCCTGCGTGCCAGTGAGGACACAGGAGTCCGGGACGCTGGCAGCTGCGGAGCTGAAGGAGGGGTTGGCATGCCCACAGTTCTCAGATAGTCTCTGTCCTGTTTCATTCTGTATTTATTTTAATCTGTTCTACGTATATTCTTTTCTACTCTGTATCTATTTTATATTTACTGTGTATTTATTCTGTCCCAGCCCATCCTACTCTCTCTGCTCCATTCCACTCTGTTCTACTCCATATTTATTCTACTCTGTTCTGTGGGAGAGTTGGCCGCCACCCCTGCCTTGATGGTGAAACCCGCCGAATAGACTTCACCACAGACAGCATCTAGCCCACCACTGAGCGCTCCGTTCTCACTGCTCAGCATGCAGCAGTGGCATTTGGGAGAAGGGGCAGGTCCCCATGGGTGGAGGGGACATGGGCCACCTTGGGCTCTCCTCGCATCAGCAATCTGTATAACAATGCCCCTGAGACCTGGCCGCCGGAAGTGAGGACTTGCCGCACCTCAGGATCAGTGGTCGCCCACGGCCTGCCTGGCACCTCCAGGGGCTGCGTTTGCCTGGACAGGCCCAGACAGCCTCACACTCACTGGCTCTCAGCTGGGGCACCTGTTTCCCCTCAAGGCCTTCCTCCCAGTGTGACAACGGCTTCCTTGGGTGGCCATCGTAGGCGGTGTTTCAGGGGAGCAAAGGCAGAAGCTGCAGGACTCTTAAGGCCAAGCTCAGAATCACACAGCATCACTTCTGGCACATTTCGTTGGTCAAAGCAACGCCCCGTCCTTCCCAATTCAACGGGTGGTGAGATGGGTGCCATCTCGATGGGAACAGGGATGGCAGGTGGGCGGTAGGTGCTGGGATAGGCATTGATGCTACGTTTCTCCTCTGTCATGTCCCACAGGTGGTGACGACATGGCCTTCCTTTCCTTTTCTAGAAGACTAGAAGAAGCCCTGGGTGGAGGGTGGCCCACACTCCTTCTCTTGTTATTTTGGGGATGTCAGGTTTGGACGTCCAACATCCCATCCCTGCTTGGTTTTGGTTTGGTGTATATATGATGGCCTCCACCCTGGCACTGATGGGATCTTCAGTGCTGGGAGCTGCCCCTGGCCGTGGGGGTACCTGTGCCCGGCCTAGAGCTGATCCCTTTGTGGGGGGCACCGAGGCCAGCTCCTGACTGATCTTGTTCAGGCCACAGAGCCAGGGAGGGGCCTGGGGTGCCTGGTTTCCTGAGGGTGCAGCCTTTCCAGCCAAGTGCTTGTCTGTGGGGAGGGAACCCAGGGCAACTGTTCAGTCTTGTCCTTGGCCCCTGCTAATTAAATGCTGCCTCTGCACTCACACCCTTGGTTTTTCCTCATGCCCTACAGGGTACTTGGGGCTCAGTAAGGACCAGGTGAAGGGAAGACAGATGGATGGATAAGCAGTGACTGCTGTTTTGGGGGTGGAGGGGAGGCTTTATCTGATTACTTTGGATCCTACACATCAGTCCTGGGTTGGGGCCTTGGATCAGCAGAGGGAGAATTTGTTCTGAAAAAGTGGTCTCCTGGACGACATCTGAGTTCTAACAGTGCAGCTGCAAAGAATTGAGACATCACATTGCCTCAAGGCCAGAGGGGTTATTGTAGATTGAAACAGGTGGTTAGCATGCAGAATCATATTAAATGCCTCTGCAAGGGGCCAGCAAACCACAGTGTTTGTGGAAAGGGGTTTTATGGTGGAACAAAGTGACATCTGGTTAGGACCATGAGGGGACACCAGCCTGCTTAGCGTTCACCATGGGCTCTTCCAGCAGGGGTTAGACGCTCACTACGTGAGCCAAACCCCCACCCCCACCAGCCCAATGGGCACTCAGGTACCAGGGACAACAAACTGCTTCCTGGGGGGCGTCTTGTGAGTTCAGCAGAAGTGACTGCAGTGCAGGAACCCTGTGATCACAGTGTGGCCTTCTAGAAGGGCATCCCTTCTCACCGGGGTGTGGGAGACTGGGTCCCTCTTGTGCCCTTGTTGCTGTCCCCACCTGCCCCACTTGGTCCCCTGCTGCAGCCCACAGGCTGACACCTGATTGTGGCGGACGCGGGCGTCCTCTCCGGGCAGGCCCCACCCTGGGTGTAAGCATATTTGACGAGCGCATTGCCATTCCAACGCTCATTAAGGCTCAGCTGGCCCCACTTTGGCTGCCGGGAGCTTCTCTGCGGTGGGTCCCGCGCTCTTGTCACAAGGACTGGGGGCGCGTTAAGGAGAGAATTACTTGTTGGAAGAGGTTGGGCGATGGTGGGAAAAGCTCCTCTCACATCCATCTGCAGGGCCTGAAATGCAGCTGTGGTAGAAGCTGAGGGTGGGGAGAGGGACAGCACGCACCAAATGGCGGCTTAGCATGCGCTTGTGTGTGTGCCGTGTGGATCAAGCAGGGAGTCGTTATGGGTGCTCTGGTTCTGCCATGCCGCGTGTTTGAGACCACACTCGGCAGAAGAAGGAGACAGAAGGACAAGGAGGGGGTTCGTGGAAAAAGCTGCAGTCTTGAATTGCGCTGGACATGGCGGTACACACTCGCGAGGGAATCTGCCTTTCTGTGTGGAGCCCCCAGCTCTGTCGAGCGAGCACCCCAGACCCAGATATTGTCCCAAAAGACTATTTCCTACCAGTAGGACCAGATCTTCCTGAAGGTGTGGCCTGGTTCCTGTCATACCAGACAGCAAGGACACTGCTAAGACCTGATTCTGGGGTGAATGGGTAACAGGCAGGGTGGTGAAGGAACTGGATAGAATGTACATTAAAAAAAAGGTTTTTCAGGCCGGCCGAGTGGTGCACTGGTTAAGAGCTGGCTTTGGATGCCAGCTCTGAGCAGCAGGGCCCCGGCTCGGATCCCACATGAGGGCCAGTGACGCTGCGCCCTCTACAGCTAAGATGCTGAACAACAGCTCTACCTGGAGATGGGCTGCCTTGAGTCACCGGTGACAGCATAGACTGCAGTGGAGCTGTAGTGGGCTGCCATGGGCTACCGTGAGTGGCTGGTAGCTGGCGTGAGCTGCCAAGAGCTGCCGTGAGCGGCCGTCCAATGGCTGGTGACCGATCTCCCTCACCCGGGAAGAACGCAATGATAATACCAACATGGGCCAATGAAGCCACATCCTCCACAACTAGACTGAAGAACAAAAGGGCAGTAACTTGTCAGTTCCCCTCCCCCAATTCCCCAATAAAATCTTTAAAAAAAAAAAAAAAGGGTTTTTTTGTCCTAGTGATAAACAGCAAGAACTGGAACTTGGATATTATTTCATTCACAATTGCACAAAAACTATTGATAGCATATCAGGATAAACAAACAGGACCTGTCGGGAAGGCAATGTTGTAACCCAGCCCTGTGTCTCCAGCTCCTACCAGCGCTCTCCTTTCCCTTCCTGGGGCAAACCCTCTGGCTTCTGGCATCCAGCTGAGCCCCCCTGCCCACGATGGCTCTGCTGTGTCCTGACCTGGTTCTCTCCACCGGACGTGTTTTGCTGGATGTGTCTTGGCCCTCCCAGCCCTCCAGGAGGTTTTCCTACCTGCTCCCTACAGAAGGACACCGATGTGTGTTTCCTTCTGTTTAGTCCCCTGGAGAGGACAATGTGGCCCAGTGGTTAATGCGGCTCAGGGCCCCAGAGCTCTTCTGCAGCGTGGGGCCTTGGGCAAGGCATGCGACTCTCTGTGCCCAGTGCATAACAGCGACCCACTGGGACTCCATGGGGGTAGAGTACGTTGGGTGCTGAAACTAGGAAACACGTGGTGACTACAGGATAAGCCCCTGGGCACATCCTCACCAGGCAAAGGAGGCTCTGTACATTTTAACTCAGTGGTCCTGGGAGGTGGTGCCAGTCAGAACACCAGGGACACTGAGGTGTTCCAGCCCTATTGCTTCCCTGATATAGGCACAGCATCTCCCTTGGGTGTCCCAGCCTAGGGGTCATTGCTGTACCCCACTTGCTGAGTTCCTGGCACCCAGGCAGGCCCTCTAAGGGTCCCTTTTTGTGAGGACCCTCCCTCCAGTGGGGCAGAATGTCAGGACATGCCACCTCTCAGTCCCCTCTCCTGATGAGCCCCTGGGGTGCGAGCTCCCAAGGGCCCCCTGACCTGCTCTGGCCTCCGCTCTGACTCCCAGCGGCTGGGTCTGCCTCCTGGCTTCTTGTTTCTTGGGGGGGCCGAGGGGGCGCGTAGTCTGATTATGCATCCCCCAGGGCCTCCACAGGCTGCCACACAGTAGGTGTTCGATAGGAGCTCTTACATGGATGATTGGGGGGGTAAGGTGGGTGTCGCTGGGCCCTCCCATGCCCGACGGGGCTGATGGGCTTCTCTGCCTGCAGGTGCTTTGGGGCCATTGTCCTCTTGGTCCTGACCCTGTTTCTGCTAGCCAGCCTCCAGCACATGGATGTCACCGTGTTCTTACCGTGAGTGTTGCATTGGGCACCCCTTGGTTTGGGCACTGCTCCCTCCCAGACCAGTACCGGGGCCCCCAGCCTGCCCACCTCTGGGTGGCACCCAGTACAGGCCAGTGACTGTGATGGGGATCACACCTCCCTGCTGGGCCTCAGTCTCCCCTCTATAAGAAGAGGGCTGGGCCCTTCCTTTTGGGGACCTATTAGCTTCCTGGGGCTCTCTTGCAGGCAGCGAGGAGGTCTCTGAGAGGGTGGGGGCCTGGGCTGGGCTGGGGGTGTCTTGGGTAGAGCTGCTGTGGGCAGAGGGTGACCAGGTGCTAGGAGGCAGGGCTGGGGCCCATAGTGGGTCAGGGGAGGTTCAGGACCCTGTCCCTCTGCCTGCGGCGGCACAGCCCCTGTGAAGCGTGTGGTCCACGAGGATGGCCACACGGTCCCAGCGCCTTAGCCTGGCTGCTGGGACGGTCTTGAGACCCCAGGCCACCTTCCCCTGCCCCCACCCTTCTGGTTGGATCTCTATGGGAGATGGGGAAGTGCCAAAGACCCCTGGGTTTCTTTGCCACCTATCTCTCCCCATTGTACCCAGGGCCAGCGTAGGCCTCTGGACCCTGTCCCCTACTACCCTGCTTTGAGGCCCTGCATGGGGCAGGGTGGACACCTGCTGCTGTAGGCTGGAGTCCACAGCTGGGTGGGCACTAGCATGGGATCACAGGAGTGGGCACCAGCGTCCACCTGGCCCTGTGGTCAGGTTGGCCAGTCTTGGCTGATTTGAAGTGTCAGCCAAGAAATGCCAAATGTGTGGCCCAGGTCACTGGGCCAGAGCCATGCCAGGGCCCTGCGAGCCAGATAGGAAGGTGAGGCTGAAGGGGGTGCCAGGGCCACTTAGAAAGAATCATGTCTGTGCCAGTGGGTCCTCAGGGGCTGCAGGTTTGGGGGTTCTCTAGGTTAGGGGGAGCACAGAGGTAGAGCTGGGGGTTATGGGGTTGGCGTGTCACTGGTATGGGGAGTACAGATTGGGGGATCTTGGACTGAGGGGATCATGGTGATAGGAGATGGTTTTGGGGTCTCCATGTTGAGGGGATTGCTGGGTTGGGGGTCATGCAGTTGGGGGGAGCAGGGTGGGGGGTTGCCGGGCTGGGGTGTCTCAAGGTGCGTGTTGGTGGGGGAGCTCCCTCGCTAACGGCGGCTAACTGTGCTCTCCTCCCAGCCTGCTCAGGGACCAGGCTGAGGCGCCACCCATCACCAACGTCATGTTCCTCAAGACGCACAAGACCGCCAGCAGCACCGTGCTCAACATTCTCTTTCGATTTGCGGAGACGCACAACTTGTCCGTGGCGCTGCCCGCTGGCTCGCGCCTCCACCTGGGCTACCCCTGGCTCTTCCTGGCACGCTATGTGGAGGGCGTGAAGCAGGGTGGCACCCAGCCACGTTTCAATGTCATGTGCAACCACCTGAGGTTTAACCTGCCTGAGGTGCGGCCAGGGGGAGTGCTGCAGGGGGTGGGACTCAGCCCAGGGCCCACTTTTGGCTTTGAAGTGCGACCATGGGGAAGAGATCGTGGCCTGGAGGCTGGAGAGACTAAGGCTGGGGGCGTGTGTGCAGGGATCTGGAAGGAGGGGGCTGGTAGAGGCCTCTTGGAAGGCCCCGCTAGCACCCCCACCCCCTTGCACCCCACTGCCAGTTGACAGCCATTGCTTTTGGAGTCAGAAGCAGCCGCCCCGCAGCCTGCCACCATCTCCTCTCTTCTTCTCCGTCTTCCTTTTGGTTCCCAAACCCGCCCAGTTCTTCCCACCCCAGGTCCTTTGCATGCACTGTCCCTTTTGGTGGGGAAGCTCTTCACAGCTCCTTCTGTGGGTCATTTGGGTCTCAGCTTAGAGGTCACCTCTTCTGGGTGGGTTGTGGGGGGGGGGTTCCCTGACCTCCCTTCCAGGAGAGAGAGGACGGAGGGGAGAGGATTTTTGGTGTGGGTGGTGGCTGGTTCAGGTGATTTGGATCATTGTGGACAGTCATGGAGGGTGGCGGTCAGGGGAGCAAGGTGGCCTGGACAAGATGCAGGGAGATCAGGTGAGAGAGGCGTGGGTGGGCAGGTCCAAGTGTGCTGTGGGGTGGGGGGTGCGGGAGAAGAGACCACCTGTCCCACGGGACACCCCCAAGGAGCCCTGAGCGTCAGCAGCCCTGTTCTGTCTTCACACAGGTGCAGAAAGTCATGCCCAACGATACTTTCTACTTTTCCATCCTCAGAAACCCCGTCTTCCAGCTGGAATCTTCCTTCATCTATTACAGAGACTACGTCCCCGCCTTCAGGGACGCCGCGAGCCTGGACACCTTCCTGGCCTCCCCGCTCACCTACTACAACCGGAGTCGGAGCCTGCGAAACGCCCACGCCAGGAACAACATGTGGTTCGACCTGGGCTTTGACTCCGACGCGCCCGCGGAGGAGAGCTACGTGCGCGCGCGCCTGGCTGAGGTGGAGCAGCGCTTCCAGCTGGTGCTCATCGCCGAGCACTTCGACGAGTCCATGGTGCTGCTGCGGCGCCGGCTGCGCTGGCAACTGGACGACATCGTGTCCTTCAGGCTCAACTCGCGCAGCCAGCGCAGCGTCACCAGGCTGACGCCCGAGGGCCAGGAGCGGGCCAAGCGCTGGTGCGCCCTGGACTGGCGCCTCTACCAGCACTTCAATCGCAGCTTCTGGGCCCAGGTGCGCGCGGAGCTGAGTCCGAGGCGCCTGCGCTCCGAGGTGGCGCGGCTGCGGGCGCGGCGGCGCGAGCTCACGGCCCTGTGCCTGCAGGACAGCAAGCCCAAGGACAAGCAGCAGATCACTGACCGCCGCCTGCGCCCCTACCAGTCTGGCGACGCCGACATCCTGGGCTACAACCTCCGGCGGGGCTTGGACAACCAGACGCTGCAGGTGTGCCAGAGGATGGTCACACCTGAGCTCCAGTACATGGCCCACCTGTATGCCCTGCAGTTCCCGGAGAAGCCCCCCAAGGACATCTCCTTCCTGGAGGAGTAGCCCCGCCCGACTGTTGCCAGCCCCTCTGCTGTCACCCTGGGAGGCCTCGGGCATGGCCTCAGGAACAGAGCAGGGCTCCTGGGGCATCTGGAGACCCAGTCTCCCCAGACCATGGGTCTTGTGGGTGAGGATGTCTATGAAAAGAACTACCCGTGACCCACCCTCTTGATGAGGGACCCAAATCTAAGACAGTAGGCACACATGACGTGTGAGGATGTGAACCTAGTCGCCAAATAGAAAAGTCTTACAAGGTAAGAAAGTGAGAGTGATAGTTAATGACATGTCAACACGCAGCCCATCAGGGGGGCAGGAGCCCAGGCAGTGGCCAGCTGTCAAGCAGATGAGATGACCCCCCCCACCCTCTTCTCACCCACCCAGTTTCCTTTAGTAAATCTCTCAGGCCCCAAGGAGCTGAAGGGACATAGCAGATGCGTCATTTCCTCATGGACATCACACGATGTCTTAATTTTCGCAGAGCCTGTTTCTCCCTTTGAAGCCCTGTCACACTGGGGGTGGGGGCGCAGGAAAAGGAGGGCAGGCAGGTCCCAGGGCATCTCTGAGGAGGCCAGCCCTCTGAGAGCCCCTTTCACAGACCACCTCTCCGGAGGCCCTGGCCCAGGCAGTGGTCACCTGGGAAGCGGTCACCTGGGCAGCGGTGACCCGGGCAGCGGTCACCTGGGCAGTGGTCACCCATGAAATCACCTCGGAGACAGCAGGAGGGGATGGGGCTAATGGGGCCTGGCTGGCAGGAGCCCTGGGAGGCGCTGGCGCTGGGGAAGGGTGGGAAGCTCACCTGCCTGGTCTGAGCCAGGCTCCTGAGCACAGACATAGGGCTGGAGCCCAATGAGGGCCGAAGGTGCTGAGTCCTGGGGGCCAGGGGAGGGACACCCAGCTGGCACGCAGAGGTTCATGGAGGGTCTGAGCGCTCACTTTTGTTCTTAGGAGAGGAGTCTCTGCAGCAGACCTGGGGGTAGCTGTGGCCACCCTGCCCCCAGGTCCTGAGCGCCTCCCAGGTAGAGTGGGCCGGCCAGCATAGAGGAGCCTTGTGTGGCCCCATCCTGACACTGTCTTCCGCCCTGGGTGTCCTCCTGCACCCCCAGCCCCCCTGTGCTGCACCAGAGCTGCAGGGCTGGCAGGAGGGTCCTGGGTGCTGACGCAGCTCGGGGACAAGGCCAGCTCCCGCCTCCTGCCCACACAGTGGGCCCTTGTCTCTGTGCGTGTGGGGCTGAGAGGCAGGCAGGCACTCCCGCGGCCGCCCACAGCCAGCTCTGCGGCTTTCCTGTGGTGCCTGGTAAGTCCCCACCTGCTCCCTGCACCCGGCTGCCCGCCAGTGGCCAGGGTCTGGCTCCTTCTGTCCCCTCTGGACGCCCCTCATTGGGCTGAGGGCCATGGGCATGTGGACCGAGGGCTCTCTGGCCAGAGGTTCCACATGGATCCCCAATGGGACAATTTCCTGGCCCCCGGGTGAGGTGTGACATTGAAAGGCAAGGTCTGGGGGAGGGAAGTAGAGTTAGAGGATAGGAAGGATGCAGACGGGATGTCGAGGCCCAAAGCCGCGGGCCTAGCCCCAGCCTGCAGGATCGGATAGGCCACGAGTGACGATACTCCGCCAAGCACAAGGACCTGTCATTGAGTCCTTGCCTGGGACACGGCACAGGGCACTCAGGTTAGACTGGAGCCCTAGCCTGAGGTGACAGAGCCAGGAGGGTCCTCTTCCTGATTTCTCTGCTCTTCATATGTGTGCATTTTAGTTCCTGGTCCAAAGAACAAAAGAAGTGGTGACACAGGAGGGAGGGTATGGTGCTGGCCCTGAGTGTTCCAAGACAGAGCCCCAACAGGACAGGCTGCAGGCAGGTCTGGGGCAAGCCCCTGTGGAGGCATAACGACCCCCAGCAACGTTCCAGGGGTCCAGGGTCAGGGGCCAGGTTCTCTCGGATGCCTCAGCTTCCCGTTCTGTGACGTGCCTCTCTGGGAGGGCCCCACTGGGAGGATGGCCCGAGGCTAAGAGGTTGGTTCCAGTTAACCCTGGGACATATCCATCTGTTCAAGCCAAAACCCCGGAACCTGCTAAATTGGCCAAACTGGGCAGGTCCGGCTGCCCGGGAGGCCCGCTTCCTCCTCTTAGACTGAGGGGGCCTACCTGGGACTTCGAGGCTCTGGCCCGGGCAAGGAGTGCCCAGCAGTCCTGTCCCACTCTGTCCAGTGAGCAGAGACTGACCAGCTGGTCTGGGAGCCTCCCTCTTTGCCATCTGTCCCCTGGGGGACTGTCCTGGGCCCCCTGCTTCTGCTGACACCAGCTCCCAGTGGTCCCAGGCCCAGGGGAGTGAGCCAAGTGGAGAGAATGTCCCACTGTGTCCATTCAGCCCGGAGGGACACGTGGCACTAACATCTGCCCCTTGGATGCAGAATGGGGGTGGGGCCCAGGGCTTCAGGGACACGGACAGCCGTTCTCAGAAACCCCAGATCAGGGTGGGATGGGCAGACCTGGGGTTAGGCAGGGGTCTGCTGGGCTCAGCAGGCAGCAGGGCTGTCCTGGATAGAGGTGGCCCAGGCAGAGGTTTCTGTCTGTGTTGGGGACCTCAGGCATGGAGACACGCCGTCCTATGCATCTGAGCAAGGCCCCTCGTTTAGGGGTGTGTGTGTGTTCATTCCCGTCAACCGCTCCCTACCCGACTGTCTCCTAGGACGCGCTGTGTGCAAGGACTTGATCTGAGTGCTCTGTCCCTCTTCCCCCTGCAGCCCATGCAGCCCACCCTCCGTGGGGCCAGCCAGAGAAAGACGCCCTCTGGCAGAGGGCTTGTCGAGGCCCTGCCCTGTGAGTCTCCCTCAGGACCATGCTCCCGGGGAATAGGGTTAGGCTGCTCCAGGCCCCCTCGTCACCCCCACAGGAGCCCAGTGGAGGTTTAGGGAGCTGGGCATGGGACTAGGGGCAGGTGGGGAGGCGAGGGCCTTCTTTATCCTTGCTGAATCACCAGGTGCTCTCTCCTGTCAGGGCCCCCTGGAACCTGGAATGTCACCTCCCCTTTGCCCTGCCACCCTTAGCTCTGCACTCCAGGAAGTCCACCCAGCCTCTGCCACCGCCCCCGTACCCCCCAGCCAGGCTCTTCTCCTGTGTGTGCGCCAGCTAAGGGGGGCTCAGTGGGAGACGGCGCCATCTTCCTCCCCTCACAGTGTGGGAGCAGCTGCTGCCTGTGCACAGACTGGAGCCGGTGTGCCTCCCACCGCTCCTGCGGTCCCTTTCTGCCAGATGTGGGAGGGGACGGTGGTATGGCGTTGACTTCCCAGGCCTTGTTGGGGTTCCTCTTGCTACCTCTCTGGCCTTCACCATCCCTAGCTCTCTTAAGGCACTCGTGGGAGCTATTCGGGGCACCCTGTGGGTGGCAATTGGTCTGCTGGACCTCCCCACGACCCCCAGCCTTGCTCAGAATGTCTCACTGGGGCCTGGAATTCAGGCCCCTTCTCTGCAGACCCGTTGGGACACACCTTGGTTTGAACAGGTGTCCCCCACCTCTCCTGGCCACTCCCCGGAACCTCTGACCCTGGTGACCCCTCAGGGCTGAACCAGGTGGTGGCAGGAGCTAGGGCGCGTTCCTCCCGGAAGCCTTGTGCCTGTGTGTCTGTGTGAATGTAAGTCTGTCTGTTTTTTTTCTGTCTAGTGAGTCTGTTTCTGTGTCTCTGTTTGCCATGGCTCCCAGGGTTGTGGGACCTGTATTTGGGGACACTGAACCCCTCCTTGCCCAAAGCTTTGGGCCCTGATTGTACACCTGGCCAGCCGTGTGCTGGGCAGGTTCATGACGACACATCCCAGGCACATGGGTGGGTGGGGTAGCGGGTCGGGGCTCTGGCCAGGCTCCCTCGCATCACCTCCCTGAGCTGTGTCCACAGGAGGCAGGGGCTGATTCCAGACATTTGGGGGAGCATCGACCGTGGAGGAGAAGGGGTTAGGGATCCAGGGACGGGTCCGTGGGGGGTGGGCACAAGAAGGCAGCTGGGCGTGGATGGAGGCGCCTGCAGAGACCCCTCCTCCATCCAGACCAAGAGACGGAATCGTGCACTGGCCCTGCCCGCAGAGCATGGGGCCCCCCCGAGCCCCCGCGCGGAACGTGCTCTTCCAGAGCGAGCGCAGCGGCCTGACCTACCGCGTGCCAGCGCTGCTGCCCGTGCCCCCGGGGCCCACCCTGCTGGCCTTCGCGGAGCAGCGACTCAGACCCGACGACACGCACGCCCACCGCCTGGTGCAGAGGCGCGGCACGCTGTCGGGGGCCTCCGTGCTGGTGAGAGACTGGGCGGGGGATGGGGCGGAGGTGGGCGCCCCCTGCGTGAGGCCCGGAAACTGAGGCCCCCACCTCCCGGCAGTGGGGCGCCGCGCGCGTGCTGGGCACCGCAGCCCTGGAGGGACACCGCTCCATGAACCCCTGCCCGGTGCACGATACGCGCACCGGCACCGTCTTCCTGTTCTTCGTGGCCGTGCGTGGCCGCACGCCCGAGGCCGCACAGATCGCCGCGGGCAGGAACGCAGCGCGCCTCTGCTGCGTGACCAGCCAGGACTCGGGGCGCAGCTGGGGCGCAGCGCGGGACCTCACCGCTGAGGCGGTGGGCGGCGCCGAGCGGGGTAGGTGGGCACAGGGGGTGTCTGCAGGCGGTAGGGTGGGAGAGGGTCTGACCGGAAGTCCCTGGGCTGCCCGTCCCCGCCCCGCTCCCCACCCCCAGCCTAAGCGACAAGATACAGACAACATTTGTGGGCGGTCTCATCCCAGAACCCCTCAGCCTCTTAAAGGGCTGTTGGTCACACCCAGCCAGGCCTGCGGCAGGAGAAGGCTCTTCTACCTGCCTGAGCTGTCTCTTAATCTGAGCCCCCAAACCCCAAGACCTCAACTCCCTAACCATTTCCTCCTCCACCTCCTCCTTTCACCCCGCCCAGGGGGGGCCCAGCCTGGGTTGTGGGCAGGTCAGGCAGGTCGGCCTTACCTCAGAGGTTTCCCTCAGCTTCTGCTGGCCTCTCCCCAAGGGCCTGACCATCCACTGCTCCCAGGGGCCACCCCAACCCTGGCAGGCCCTGAGACGCACAGAGCTAATGAAAACGCTAGCTGCTGGTGTAGACTCCACCCCAGGGGACTCAGGCTCAAGGCCACGAGAGGCTGCCGAGACCCAGCCCTGAAGCTCGGCACACCTGACCCCCTCGGCTGCCCCTGTCTGGACAGTGCTCACACCTATCTATGTTCAGGGACTGGCCACCTGCTGACATGCCGAGAAGCTAGCCAAATGGCCTGCCTGGGCTCCCCACTCCTGCTAATGGCCTGGAGAGGCTGGTCCACGCCAGGAGGACTCAGGGTGGCTGGGAGGAGCGGAGGCGTGGTCAGCGGTGGCTTCCTCACAAGCTGTGCCCTAGTCTGAGGCACTGCCCTCCCCCACCTTTACCGGTCCCCGCAGCTGAGGCTGTCCCCTTGTGGGGTAACCAGCAGCCCCTCCCATCTGCAGACTGGGCCACATTTGCTGTGGGTCCCGGCCACGGCATCCAGCTGCGCTCGGGCCGTCTGCTGGTGCCGGCCTACACCTACCGCGTGGACCGGCGTGAGTGTTTTGGCAAGATCTGCAGGACCAGCCCCCACGCCTTCGTTTTCTACAGCGATGACCACGGCCAGACCTGGCAGCACGGAGGCCTTGTGCCCAACCTGCGCTCGGGCGAGTGCCAGCTGGCTGCAGTGGATGGAGGGCAGGCCGGCGTTGTCCTCTACTGCAATGCCCGGAGCCCCCTGGGCCGTCGTGTGCAGGCGCTCAGCTCAGATGAGGGCACCTCCTTCCTGCCCGGGGAGCTGGTGCCCACCTTGGCTGAGACGGCCCGTGGCTGCCAGGGCAGCATCTTGGGCTTCTCGGCCCCGCCCTCTAGCAGGTCTGGGGATGAGGGCTGGTCGGTGGGCTCCAGGAAGGCTCCCTCCCCTCCAAGCCTCTGTCCTGGAGTCCAGGCACCCCTAGAGGAGGGTGTTGGAGACACCCAAGGGGGTGGGGGGCTGGGCGGGACAGAGGGATGTGGGGACAGCCCAGGGGACCCTGGCTCCGGGGAGCCTAGCCCAAGGCCTGGGCTCGGTGGGGACAGGGAGACCTGGATTCTGAAGCCCCCTGGGCCCCCTGCTGCCTTGTCTCAGAGCTCCACGTGGCTGCTGTATTCCCACCCTGCGGGGCGCAGAGCTCGGCTCCATATGGGCATCTATCTGAGCAGATCCCCCCTGGACCCCCACAGCTGGACGGAGCCCTGGGTGATCTATGAGGGCCCCAGTGGTTACTCTGACCTGGCGTCTGTTGGGCCCAGCCCTGAGGGCTCCCTGACCTTCGCCTGTCTGTATGAGAGCGGGGCCAGGGTCTCCTACGAGGAGATTGCCTTCTGCCTGTTCTCCCTTCGTGAGGTCATGGACAACGTGCTGCCGGTCCCCAAGCCACTTAGCCTCAGGAGCAAGCCTCAGGAGCACTGCTGGCCATCCTGAAGGGCCCTCTGGCCAGGCTTGGCCCCTGGGAGGAGGGGTGTGGGGGCGGGCAGGGACGATGGGGTGGCGTGACCCCAGGCCTGGGCAGAGCTCTGGGGCGCAGGCTTCAAGGTGCCTCTGTCCCTTGGGAGAGTCGTGAGGGTGGATCTTTGGGAAGGGCCCTGTGCAATTACACAGAGCTTCAGTTCTAATACTTCCGAACAAACAGGGCTGGTCTTTGAGAGGGGGCGTGCAGCTGAAAGTGGCGGGAGGTGGGCTCAGTGCCCTGTAGGGGCAGGAGGTGGGCGGTGGGCAAGGGACCCTGGATGGCAGGTCCGTGCCTCATGGTTCTGGGGTCCTGGCATTTGGCTCTTTAATCTTGCTCTGCTTTCCGCCTTTTGAACAGGAAATAAAGGGACGTTTCTCTTGAGTTCTTTCTTCACCAAAGCCCTGGGGAGGGCCCCAGTGCCCTCGCCCGCTTCTCTGACCACCGCCCCACCTTGGCCGCGCTCTCCAACGCAGGGGCCATCAGAGGTGGGGGCAGGATGGGGACAGGAAAGGCTCATCGCGTTGTGGCCGCCCCCAGGTGTGTCTGGGGTCTGAGAACAGGCTGCACTTCCTGCTGCGGGAGCAGGCGTTGGGGCCCCCGGGCCAGGTCACCACTCAGGACCTGCGCCCTCATGGAAGCACCTTTTTATTTCTTCTCCTCTTCAAAGTCTTCATTTCTGGTTATAAAAATAAAACACACTCATTGTAGGGAATTTGGGATATGCAGAAAACTATAAAAAAAAGTTAAACGTGACCTCACACAGACCCCCTCATGGCCACAAGGGCGGTGATCTTTTTGGTGTCTCTTCCTGGCTTCTTTTTCTTCTTTTAAAAAGATTCAGCGCCTTTTAGCACAAGCGCTCCCTGGTCTGTCACACTCATCAGTTGCCTTTTGTGGCTCTGAGCATAATTTCTTCACAAATCTCCTGCTGGGTGACTTGGCGCTGGTCGGTTCCCAGCTATGAATCTTGTTTTCTGAGCACCTTTGGGGAGTCTTTGGGTGATCCCGGTTTCCAGTCACCTCCTTATATTGGGTTGTGGGATAGCATGCTGCCTTCCCAAAGGGTGGGAATGTCCAGGAAGCCCCTGAGCCACCAAGGGCCCACAGCGACCCAGGGAACTCAGTCTCCATGGGAGCAGGACGACCCCTTCAGTGCTCACCTTCATTCTCAGCACCCCCCCCCCCCCCCATGAGGACAGCTGGTCTGCCTGGGGCTCTTGGGCAATAGTAGGAGTTCGCTTTTACAAAATCTGGTTTTAAAATCTAAACCAGAGAAGCCAACAAAGATGGGCCAGGGGTGGGGGTGGGGTGGGGGCTTTTCTGGAGGCACAGAACTCACAGGTGTGGAGTGCTTGGCCCGTCGTTCACTTCTGGACTGGGCGGGTAATGTCCCCCAAATTCATGTCCACTTGGAACCTCAGATTGTGATGGATTTGGAAATAAGGTCTTTGCAGATGTGATTAATTAAGGACTAAGAGGTTGTCCTGGATGAAGCTGGGTCTTTAAAAGAGGCGGGAAAGGACACTCAAGTAAAAAGCACCTGGAGACGGAGGCAGAGACAGGACTGATTTTGCCACAAGCCAGGGACCCCCGTCCACCCCCCGTCCAACTGAGGAGGCAGGAAAGACCCTCCTAGAGGCTCCAGGAAGCGCAGCCCTGTGACCCCCTCAAGTTCAGAGTCCAGGCTCCAGCAGTGAGTGAGGATGAACATCTGTTCTTTAAGCACCAGTTTGGGGCACTTTGGTACAACTGATACACCTTCCTTCGTTTGTCGTCCTCCTCTGTCCATTGGCACGGACCTCTAAGCAGCTGCTGGACATTGGGCCTCACCTGGGAAGGGAAAGGACAGCATGTGATGCACGCTTTACATGTTCCAGTTCATAAAATCACAGCCCCTTAAGGTGGATATTAATCCAGCTTTCCAGGTGTGGACATTGAGACTTGCCAATAGCTTCACAGTTTCGGGGTAGAAGGCAGCTTGTAATCCATTTGATGGTTTCCACATCCGTTCTTTTAAGTGTATTCCACTTCCTGTGATTAAAAAAGTCACAGTGGGCCGGCCGAGTGGCGCGTTGGTTAAGAACTGGCTTGGGATGCCAGAGGGCCCCGGTTCAGATCCCACATTTGAGGGCCAGTGACACTGCCCTCTACAGCTGAGATGCTGAACAACAGCTCTACCTGGAGCTGGGCTGCCGTGAGTCACCCGCGATGGCGTAGGCTGCAGCCCCTGTGGCAGTGGGTTGCCATGGGCTACCGTGTGTAGCCAGCAGCCAGCGTGAGCGGTCGTTTAGAAGCCGGCGACTGATCTGCCTCGCCCGGGAAGAGCGCAATGATGGTGCTAACTTGGGCCAGTGAAGCAACGTCCTCCACAACTAGACTGAAGAACAAAAGGTCAGCAGCTTGTCTGTTCCCCTTCCCCCAATTCCCCAGTGCTGTTGCCATCCCCCCAATTCCCCAATTAAAAAAAAAAAGTCACAGTGGCCACAAGTGCTTGTTTTTGTTTTTTATTTTTGTTTTTAAAGATTTTTATTGGGGAATTGGGGGGATAGGAACAGCGCTGGGGAATTGGGGGAAGGGGAACAGACAAGTTGCTGTCGTTTTGTTCTTCAGTGTACTTGTGGAGGACGTTGCTTCACTGGTCCAAATTGGCACCATCATTGCGCTCTTCCCAGGCGAGGCAGATCAGTCGCCGGCTTCTGGACGGCCGCTCACTGCGGCTGCTGACCGCTCACGCTGGCTGCTGGCTACACACAGTAGCCCATGGCAACCCACTGCCACAGGGGCTGCAGCCTACACCATTGCCAGGGACTCATGGCAGCCCAGCTCCAGGTTGAGCTGTTGTTCAGCATCTTAGCTGTAGAGGGAAGCGTCACTGGCCCTCATATGTGGGATCCGAACCGGGGCCCTCTGGCGTCCCAAGCCAGATCTTAACCATCGCGCTACTCGGCCAGCCCCACAAGTGCTTGTTTTAACTGGTGAAACCAGTACCCCCATCCCTCCTGCCCCTGGGGTGACAACACCACACAGCTACATGGCCAATTCCCAAAGTAGACCAGCTGCACTGCTACAGTTCCATGGTGGGCTCACCGTGTGCATGGCTGGGACACGTCCTCCTCAGATGAGGCTTGTCTTCTGTGGTCTGCTGATAGCTTGTGGCTGGGTTGATGGCTCAACCCCCAAGCTTGTGACCATCTACGTGCTCGAAGCCTGCTGTCTTGTCTGAGCTGGTGGGCTGCAGCATGGCAGTTCTCCCACAGAGAGACAGCCTGAGGGCATGCTGGCACCATGCCCTGACTGCGGCGACCTGAGGGTGGCGGTTACACCCGGGTCTGGAGAGTTTGGGCACAGGGATGTCCCTGGCCACCCACGAACTCCAAGCAGAATAAAAAGAAAACCACAGTTGAGCACATCATAGTAAAACTGATGAAATCAAAGAGAGAGAGGAGTTTGAAAATCAGCCAGAGAAACAGATTGCCCTGAAAGGAGAAACATTTCGACTGGGAGTCAACTGTTCACCAGAAGTCACGGAAACTGGAAAACAGTGGAGTGAGTGGTCTTTTCAAAGTGCTGAGAGAAAATAGCCACCCACCTAGCATTCTATCCCAGCAAAAATATTCGTTCAGAATGAAGGGAAATAATGATGTTCTCAAATAAACAAAGTGACTTAATTTGTCACCAGCAGACTCACTAAAGGAAATGTGAAAGCTCATTGTTAAGTGGACCGAAGGTGACTGAGGCTGGACAGCCAGGTGGAGAGTGGTGGCAAGCTCAAACAGCTGGTAAGTCAGCGCATCCTGGCCGTGGGGAGTGACAGAGGATTGTGGGTTTTCAACAAAGTGTAGACGTCACTACAGAATAAGGACAGCACTTGAGTTGAGAGGATGACAAGTGGGCAGGGGTCTTCTGAGCTCCTGGTTCTGTCCACAGACAGAGGAATGACCCACTTGTGTTGGTGGGCCATGCCTGCTGTCATGTCCGGCGCCAACACTGAAAGAATACCAAAACTGTATAGTCACCCAATTAATTGAGGTGACAAATGGAAAACTAGGAAGTGATCATTTCAAAAAAGGCAAAGAATCAGAGAAAATATACATAGTGGTGGTAAGACAAACAGAAAGCAAACATTAAAACAGCCGATTGAAACACAAACGCATCAGAACCCCATTACTGTAAACTGAGTGATATTCCAATGGTCATGCACGAAGCAAAACGACAACAAATAAACCCAGCTGCACTGCACTGACAGCAAACAGGTATAAGGGATAAAGACACAGAAAGGTCGACAGTTAACAGAGGAAGAGGGCATGAAACCACACAGGTGAGCACCTGAGCTGTTATCAGGGCCGAAGCATGAGCAGTGATGAGGGGACAGCTTTCAAAATTATAAACATTGGATTCAACTGAAAATTATAATACTTTTAGACTTGTGTGTACCTGATACTACGCCTCAAACTATGAAACAAAAGTGGACAGATCTATTGGGGAACATAGACCCACAATTATAGCAGCAATTTTTTAGACACGAATCTGCCAGTAACTGACAGAGCAAGGGACAAAAGTAACATCTGTAGGAACAGAGTGCTTTGGCCACGTTGCCTGAAAAGCTTGACTTAATTGATACATGCAGACACTGCTCAGAAGAGTGACAGGAGGCACAGCCTTTCTAAATACACTCAGATATATAGACTCACTTCTGTCAGATCTTAAGGCCAAGTCTCCACAGACTTCAAAGGATTGAAAATTACAGTGCAATCTAGCTAGAAATTTCAGTCCCTAGCCCTGGTTGCGACCGCCCAGCCTGGCCGCTGTGCCCTGGGCGGAGTCATGGGGCGCTGCTCTGGCCACACGGAGGCCCAGCTGCCCCCAACAAGCCTGTGGCTTGGTGTTGTGCCAGCTCTGGGCCATGCACCCATCCGCCCACACTTCCCTTGGCCCATAGGCGCTGTGGTGGTTGACTTAATGTGTCAGCCTTGTCACAGGGCCCAGGTGTTGCATCAAATGCTTGCTAGTTCACATGTTTCTGTGAAGGCTTTTTTTTTTTTTAAGATGAGATTAATATTTAAATCAGCTGAACTGCAGTAAAGTGCATGACCCTCCAGGATGTGGTAGGCCTCATCCAGTCAGGTGAGATTTAGGAGAAAAGACTGCAGTCCCCGAGGAAGACTGATCTCTGCCTCCAGGTGGCCTCAGGCTCCAGCCGCAGCACCAGCTCTTCCCTGTGCCTGCGGCCTGCTGACTGGCCAGGATCGCGTGAGCCCGTTCCTTACAACACACCTCTGTACACACACGGGCTGTCGGCTCCGTCCCTCTGGAGACCCTGACGGATGCAGGGACCTCTCCCTGGGCCTTGTGTCCCCTTCTGTACATCAGTGTGGGGTGGAGGCAGCCAGAACTGCAGGCCCACACACCGGCCACGCCACTGCTCCCTGCACCTGGTCCAGTGGACAGCCTCCAGGGGTCAAGCTGTGCCCTGAGCAGGCGCCCAGTGTCTGCGGCTCAGGGCTGACCTCCTAGCCCAGAGCAATTTCATCTTCCCAAACTGACCTGCGCCCCTCTTAAACACTCCCTCCCCTCCTCTCCGCCAGCCCCTGAATCTGACTCCCCTAGGGACCGCATACAAGTGGGATCACACACTGTTTGTCCTTCTGTGTCTGGCTTATTTCACTGGTCATACGTCCTCAGGTCCACGCATGCGGCAGCAGGTGTCAGAACGTCCTTCTTCAGGCTGAATGATATTGCATCGCATGCACGCGCCCCATCTGTGGGTGCTTTCCTCCCCCCAGGACGCTGGGGCTGCTGCCTCCTGTTGGCTATATAGTGCATTGATGTTTTGTGCATTGAGGTACAAACTTTTAAAAATTAATTATTTTAACGGTTGAATAATATTCCATATGATAATTTATTTGAGGAATTCAGATTGAGATAAAAACATAACAACAACAACAACAACAAAACAGCCACGGATCTGTGCCCAAGGCAGGGTCCCCTGGCACTCGAGCCCCTAGGCAGGTCCTGCCACCTGGGACACCCCTCAAGCCAGCTCCATTTTGCCTGAAGGATCAATAAGAGCTGAATCCTGGGGATGTGTGGCAAGGCTGGGACCCTTGGCCGGGAGGAGACAAAGGAGGGGAGGGGCCCCCCCAAGGCAGACTCGAGGCTGCCAGGCCGTGCCTGGACACATGGGCACCTCTGCCCGGAGCTTCTTCCTGCCTGCGGGCCCCAACAGCTTCAGCCCAGGGCACCCCTGTCCCAGGGGCCCCACACCCCTGCCCAGTGAGTCAGCCGGCTCAGGAGTCACAAACACAGGCCCCTGCAGGCGGGTAGAGCAGCCTGACCGGGGTCAGAGGTGCAGCACCCCCCAACCTCCCTCCAGCCTCCCGGCTCCACGGATATGACTGAGCAGCACAGGGAGCGCCAGTGTTTGGGTTCAACACTGTGCTGGTCACACCCCTGTGATCACCCTCAGGAGGACCCCCACATCTTGAAGTTTCTAAATCTCAGCAGCCTCAGCCAGACACAAAGGGGGTCCATTCACACCAACCGACCGACCAGGGCCGACCAGGGCTGAGACCCCGTGACCCCCACGCCAGCCCCCCAAGGGCCATACACTGGCCACCAGTCCTGCCTCCATGACCCCGACAGTGAGCTCCCTTTAGATCGGCGCCTTTCTCCTGCCGGGAGACCTTGGCCAGAGCCCCCACCGGCCCTACAGGCCTGGCCTTGGGTTTCCTGTCCACCCTGTCCTGCGGAACCTTGGGCTCCTATGCCGAGGTGTCCAGCACCCCTGCCCCCCCAGCGCTGCACAGCGACTGCAAGGGCCCGGGGAGGGGGCCCCGAGCCCGGCCACCCCGCCCCCTGAAGCCGCCGCCCTCCCCACGAGGTGCACAGACGCGGCGGGGACGGACCCCGAGCGGCGGCGTGGGCGGGCGTGGGCGAGCGGCCCCAGCCGCGGCCGTGACACACGCGCTGGGGCAGCGCAGGGGACGGAAACAATGAGGCGGCGGGCGGCGGGCGGCGGGTTACGGGAAGGCGCGGGGCGGGCTGCCGGCTTCGCTTCCGATCGGAGGCGCTTCCTCCCGCCCCGCCGCGCGCTTCTGTGTTTTTCCTTTCTTTTTTTTTTTTTTTTGTATCAATATGAAACAGTGTTCTAAACGTACTCTGCGTGTTCATTAGGGTTTTAATTTTGGAAATTCTGATGATCAAGTCGCTCCGTTGTCTTGTGGCAGGACCGCAGCTCGGCTCCTTCCTTCGAGGCCGCGACTTGCGGCGTCCGGTCCCCGCTGCCCACACCCCACGGAGACGGGCGCGGCCGTCGGTCCGAGCAGCCCCCGTCCCCGGGTCCGCGCCAGGCGGGGCTGCGGCCCTGCCCCTTCTGTGACCGCAGGCCGCACGGTGCACCCCGCGCTGGCCGGTCACCCCGGGAGGCCTTCCAGGCGGGCTCCGCGGGGTGACTGCCAGATGTCACCCAGTTATCTCCAGATGGGCGCTTCCGCTCGCCGTGCGTGAGCGGCCTCTTCCCGGGGTCCCTGCCCTGCTGTCAGCCTTTCAGAGTGTGCCAGGTGGTGGGTGCCACTGTCACCTGCACTTTTCCTGCTATGAGTAAAATCGAACATCCTTTCTCTGCTTAAGGAATGCGTGTGTAATACAGATGCACACAATGTGCGCGCGCGCCCTGTCTGCTCACCCTGCCACTGCGTCTCTGACGTGCGCCCTCCATATTTGGAGGTCTTTCTGTAACTGGTGCCTTAACCTGCGTGATATTCAAACACCTTCCCGCCTTTGCCTGCGATGCTGCTGCCATGCTGATGAGCTTTCCCACTTACACCGCTGGGGCCTCACCTGTCTCCTCTCTCCCCGCACCTGGGTTCTGAGCCAGTGTAAGGAAGGGGCCACCCAGGTTTCCTTCTGTTTCTCCTTCTTCATGCTTACACCCCAAGCTGCATCGGGGGTTTCTGCAAGTGGCATAAGGCGAGCATGCCTGGATGCTTTCCCAGGCAGCCGTGTGGTCCCTGCACCATGTCTCCCCTCACGGTTGGACCCACTCCCATCTCTTCATGAGCTAATCCCACGATTAATTGCGACGAGTTTAGATATGATTCAGCTGGTCTTTCTTTTGCTTTCTCTTCATGGTTCTCTTGGCTGTTACTGATTTATTTTTCCATGTGCATTTTACAGTTGCAGACATGTGGGGGTTGTTTTGGATCCTGTTAGATTTATAAATTAACTCAGGAAAAACTGACGTCTTCATGGTGTCGAGTCATCCTAACCCAGGCGCGCGTTTGCGAGCCGGCCCACACTGTGCTCGCCTCCTTCAGCTTTGCACGTTTCTCATTAACCCACCTCAGGCATTTCATGTTCTATTCTGTTGTAACGGAACGCTGTCTACCACTTTTTCTGCTGACTGGTTAGTGTTGAACATGCGACAGCCCTTTATTTCGAGACGTTACCTTTGTATCTGCTACTTGCCCAGAGTTTCTTGTTGCTGTAGCAGTTCTCCTACAGAACCTACAGAGTTTTCCAGGCTCGCAAAACCGCACCACCCACAGACCTCCAAGCCGCTGGGCCATTGCTCCCTCCCCTGCGTGACCCCTTGTGGCATCCTGGCCTCATCCTGGAGGCATGTCACCAGGCTCCCCTGGAGGCAGCAGGGGTTATGGTGACCCAGGACAGGGTCCCAGTGTACTGGACACAGGTCGTGAGCTCAGGGGGCTGGGAGTGGGCGGGGCCTGGACAAGGGAACAAGTTGGGTGGGCGCCTACTGTTGCAGTCAGGGACTTGCCTGGTGGTGCTGTATCCCCCTCTGGAGGACAGAACAGACATTCCCTTTCAGTGGGGGGAGGGACTGCATTTCCCACAGATGCTGCACCTGGCACCCGCTTGCTAGTAGCCTGGTGCAGCCCAGCCAACCCTCCTGGCCCAGCCCCCAGCTAGGGGCACTGACACTGCCCAGGAGGGACCCTGAGGTGTGTGGACTCATGGGAGCTGGAGTGGGGCAGATACAGGGGATGCCCCCTGCCAGGCTGAGGTGGTTTGGGGGCAGGAGCCTTAGGCTCCTGGGGTGTGAAGCCCGGGAAGGGCTTTTGGGGTGGTACCTGACAGCCCCCTGAAGTCAGAGGCTGAGGGTGTGAGTGTGGCAGGAACAGATGAGGGGTCTTGGAGGGCCTTCGTGTTTCTGGGACAGTGAGGGCGTGGGCCATGGAGATCTCTCTGTGTCCGCTGTCAGCAGGCTCCCCCCGACCCACTCCCCCCACTGACCCATATGAGCAAGAGACAACGGGAGTCTTTGTTTGAGCATCCATCATTATTTAATTATAATATAATAGGACAGGAAAGGGCCTCTCAAGTGTCTGTGGAGCCCACGAGGGACATGTGTTTCTAAGTCCCCAGGCCCTGTGCCCACTGGCTGCCCTGGTTCGACAGCTGCCCTTCAGTGAGGAGTGGCAGGCCTAGCCCAGGGTACCCAGCGAAAGGACACTTGCACTCACCCAGCAGCCCAGGTGGAGGCCCCCGAGGTCCCTTTAAATAGCACCATGAATGTGTGCCAAGGACAAGGCAACTCTGGAGCACTGCCCCGCCCACCAGCCAGGGGGATCCCTGCTCTCCCCTGTGTGCTTCTCGGAGTGTGCACTGCATCTCCTCATTATGGGCACTTCACTGGCCACTCCAAGGCAGAGTCCCCAAGCAGGACCCTGTGCTCCCATGTTCAAGCACCCGTCTCCCTCGGAGGCAGCAGGGGCCCCAGTGACACTAAAGCCCCCTGATACCCTCAGGAAGGGCACGGAGGACGCTCAGAGCAGCAGTTCAGGAGGGAGAGGTAGCTCAGTCCAGTCTGGGCCTAGAGTCCTAAGCGGTCTCCTCTCTTCGCCCACGTGGGACAGTGGTCCCTCCTCTGGCCAGGTCCCGGTGAGCATTGAGAGGAGAGCCAGGCAGGGCTGGCTTAGCACAGGGCTGTCACTCCAACACAGCTCAGCCCTGGTGGCTCCCAAATTCTCCCAACTGTGTGTTCCTCCAGGGAAGGCATGACCCCAGCTCTGGGCAGAGGGTCTCAAGGCCACCGGCCTGTGAGAAAGCTGTCAGAGGGGCCAAGAACAGTGTCCGTCCTCAGGCTTCACAGGCCAGGAACTCTGCGGGCTATCAGCGGAGGCCCTGCGACTGGGGGAGGCTGGCCTGCCTGGGAAGACGATGGTGGCGTACTCCGTCTGTTCAGGAACACAGGGGGCAGAGGGCTCTGGGGTCTTCTCCCGCCACTGGAAGTCCAGTTCCTCATAGTACACGGAGAACACAGGCCCAGGGGAGGGGCCCTGCTTCTTAGGGGAGAAGGAGAGAGGAGTCAGTGCTCTCCAAGTGGCCGGCACACACACAGACACACACGCACACACAGATGCCCACATGTGTGCACAGACACAGTGCACACACAAGCACACACAGACACACACATGCATACAAATAAGCACATGCACACGGGGCTGGGCCTGGGCCCCATGACAGGTCCCTATGCTCAAATGGTTGAGGACGGGTGTGGCTTCTCAGGGCCACTCACTCCTGGGGCAGAGTTGCCTGGCCAGCCACCAGCACCATTGCCAGGAAGGGAAGGAAACTCACCAGAGGCTGGTCTTGGCTCCCACGGGCACATGCTCCTGCAGAGAAACACAGAGGGGTCAGGGAGCTTGAAGGCGCAGTGAGGGTGGGGTCTCAAGGGGTCTGGGCGGAGCTTGGGGAGGCCTCCAGCCAGGGGAAGGGCCCCAAGCCTTCCAACCCAGTGGCTCAGCACCCTGCCCACCTGTTCCCACTCTCCATGAAACAACCTGAGCCCCTGCTCATCTCCCAAGGGTCCTGTCTGGGAACATGGCCATAGGTGCCCATCCAGGGAAAGCATACCCTGGAGCTCGGGCCTGAGGGAGGGCTGACCTAACCCTGGGCTGGGTCCCCTCTGGGACACAGCTGCAGGAGAATTGAATTTGGCCCCTCCTTCCAGCCCCAGAGACATCCACCCAGCGTTGGAGGGGCTGAGAGGACCAGCTGCCTGGACCCGGTCAGGGAGTGTGTAGAGGGGGTGGGGGAGCTACACAGGCAGTCAGAGTGAGACAGGGGCGTCACAACACACCCCTGTGGCTGTGGCTGTGACCACAGGCTCCCAGCAGTGTTAGACACACTTTCACAGTGTCCTGTAGCCTGAGGTGCAGGCTGAGGTTTGAGGGGTGGCTCAGCCCCATGGGGGCCTTCTTTGCCTTTCTGTGTGACCTTGACAACTGCCTGACAGCAGGCAAGAGGGAGAGAGGGGACATGGCTGGTGTCTCTGAAGGGCCCCAGAGACCACCCTCTCCTTGTGGGGGGTCTTCACTGTGGAGGGCAGTGGGGGAGGGGCTGGTGGACATGGCTGAGGGCAGTGCCCTGGGCTCTGCCCAGCGGGGTTGGCGGTGAGCTGGCTAGGGCATACCTCGCATGGCCCTGGGGAAGGCGGTGGCCAGGACGCAGGTCAGCAGCAGCAGCAGCAGCACACCCACCAGGACGCTTGTGACACCGATGACCAGGCCCTGTAGTTGGCCCGTGGGCCTGGGCGGGGAGCTGGGGCCCTCAGTGGTTGGCTCCAGGATTGTCTCTGGAGACACAGAAAGAGACTCAGGGATGGGGACACAAGGATGGGGACTCAGCTTCCTGTCTCGCCCTCTCCAAGTCCCGAGGGGCCTTGATCATAGACCTGCGCTGACCAGTCTCACCCAGGCCTGCATGACCTTGTCCTGAGAGGCGCCCGCCACCTGCCCCCTCCCTTAGGACAAGTGGGTCTGTGGTGCTTCCGATCACAGGAGCCCACAGCTATCAGTCACTGTGGTCCCAGGTGTGGGACAGTGCCCTGGAGCGGAGCCTGGAGAGCCCCTGCTCACCCCTGCCACGGGGTCTCACCCCTGCCCTCTGCCTTTCCCCTACCCTTAGGGGTCCCAGACCCACACCTGTCACGGTGAGGTTGGCGCAGGGGCTTTCATTGATCTGCGTTTTGGGGAACAGGTGGATGGCCCCACAGAGGTACGTGCCGCTGTCATTTTGCCGGGCAGCAAGGATGCTCATTGTGAAATCTCGCCCGTTGGGCAACTGTGTGATGCGGAAGCGCCGGTCCCGATCGGGTTGGCTGCTGTCCTCAGGGAAGGCGGCCAGCTTCTCCATCTGGTTTCTGAGGCTCATGCGATACCAGTTGAGCACAAAGTTGTTGGACGTGTTGGAGAAGCTGCAGGTGAAGGTGGCCGTCTCCCCCTCAGCCACCGTGAGATTGGATGGGTTGAAGGCCAGGGGGCCCCAGGGCCTGTTAGGGGTGCCTGGGGGTGGACAGAGAACCAGCAGACCATGAGAAAAGGGAGTGGAGACAGCCCACCAAGACCCTTCCTACTTTCCTATGTCCTGTGCAACAGGAAGGTTCTGGAAGGTCCAGCCCACACCGGAGTCCGCTGTGCAGTGCCTCTGCCATGGAGCCTGGTGGCCCCTCCTTGCATGCCCCCAGGAACAAGGTCCTCACCTTTTGCCAGGTAACACCATGGTGGGATCTTGTTTCTGATTGTGATAAGACCCGGAGCCGGCTGCCTTCTGGCTCTGACCCCAGGTCCCCCGATTCCCTCCCAAGCGGTGGTTGTAAGGGCCTTCACCCTTCCCTCACTGACCCCATGTTCCCAGCTATGCATCCCAGGTGCTTGAGCAGCCGTCTGGCCAAGTCCTGTCTGACCTGTGCTGGTGGAGGGGAGGCAAGGCGGGGCGCTGGGCTCAGGGTCCAGCCTTTGTCCATCTCAGGACCGGCTCAGAGCTGAGATGCCCACATGCACCCTGCTGACCTGGGCAGCGTGGAGCCCTCTGTGCCTCCTGCCACGACTCTGGGGGCTGGAGTCTAGAGGTCAGCTGGGCCAGCACCCCTGATAAGGACAGACATGGAGGCCCTGACGGTCCTGGGCTCCGGCCCACACTCTGTCCAGAGACATCCCCACGTCACAGGGGCTCAAGGCTCTCCCCACAAAGGGCCAGCCTGTGTGACACACGAGCTTACGCTTCTGTTCTCCCTGGCTCTGCATTTATTGTTGCACTCAGCTCTGCCCGTAGGAAATGTTTACTGGGAGTGTTTCCTCCCACACGATGACAAGACTTGAGACTTGGTTGCCTCAGTTAGGGGTCCAGCAGCTTCCAAGGCCAGGGTGACCCGAGGCTGGTCGTAGTGCAACCAGAGCGGAGAGCGCTGGTTCTGTAGGCCCAGCCTGCTCTGACCACCGAGCTGGCGGCTTCCAGGAGGAAGGGATGGTGCGGGACCCTGTGCCCCTTCAGCCTGGGCCACGTCAGAGCATGTGTGACCAGGAGGATGCCCTCTGCCCATCTTCACTGGGAAACTTGCACAGGGCAAAATCACAGATATTTAGGAAAAGCAGTTGGGCCTTGAAGGGTGAGGCCAGGTGGGCCCTGAGGTGTCCCCATCACCCCTTCACTTCTGTGGTGCTGCTCAGGGACACACAGGACCCCCCCCCCATTTACACTGAGGGCACTGTGGCCTGGAGAGACCAGGGCCCAGTCAGCCTGGGCCCCCCACCATTTCCTTTCCCTGGCACCTCCGCTGGCCATCGATCAATGGATGGATGGACACGGCCAGTCATGTGGCTGCAGGTGCTTTCCCTATGGGTCCTGCCACGTGCCAGCCAGATGTGAGCAGGAGCACCACCCGTGAGCCGGAGCCAAGAAGGTCCTCAGGTTGGGGTCCCCTGGGTGCCGTGGAGGAGTGGCTCTAGCGGTTGGTGGCCCACCCATCCCTGCAGAGGGGCCTGGGGCATCAGGGAGGCTGAGGAGGTCTGAGAGGGGGCCAGCCTGGGCTGGGGGTTGCCGGTGCAGGGGGGTTTTTCACTCTTAGCAAGACCCACTGCCCCATGGAGCCTGGGCATCTGCTCACTCCCTCCACTTTCTCGGTGGTGACACAAACACCACTGGGGCATTAGCCCTTTTCTTATCTGTAATTGTGTGCTCAAACCACAGGCCACCAGCAGGCCACACCGGGCTGCCCCTGGCAGTACAAATGTGCATCTTCCCCAACATTCAGGAAGCACAGTCTACTTAAGGTAAGCATCAGTGAGTGACAGCCCCAGTTGGACACAGGTTTAGCAAAGTCGTATTATGACACTGAGGCACCAGAGGGAAGAGTGTTGGCTCCACGGGCTACTTTGCTACGTATCCCCCCACAAATACCCCTGGGAATGCCCAGTCTGAACGGTGCCACCCCATGTCGCTCTCTTACCCCAACCCCAAATCCATGCCACCAATCGGGTCCAGCCTGCCAAGGCCTCCAAACAGACCCCTCTTGTGGCCAGGACAACCTGAGAAACTCCCCTCGGGATCTCTCCAGCAAGCCTCCCCAGGGAAGCCTCTGTGTGGACATTGGCTGATGGGTCCTGGGACCCTGTCATCACCTGTGTGGCCGGGTTGCCCTGTTTCTCTCAGGTTTGGGCTCTCATATGCACCCCCTAACCTTAATTTGTGACCATTTGAGTCATTTGTCTGTTCTTTGGCTCTTTTTGGTGTCACTCACGGCATCTGAGCTTGACAAGGTGTGACCTTGGGCTACATGGGTCCCTGTCCACATGCCCCCACAGGTCTCTTATTTATCACAAAGGAAAAGGGCTGTGGGTCCAGAAGAAACATCCCCATTGTGGGGTCCCCAACTGGTGCCCCAAGGAGGCCCAACACATCTGTGATCCCCCACAAACAAACATCAGACACACCCGGGTGGTGGGCACCTGCGCACCTGGCCTGGACCCTTCAGGAATGTCATAGCTGGCAAAGCAAATGGCAGAGCAAAGCAAAGATAAACAAATGAGACGACATGAAACTGGAAAGTTTCTCACAGCAAAGGAGACCACCCACACAAATAAAAGGAAGGCTGCTGAGTGGGAGATGATATTTGCAAACTATGCATCTAATAAGGTGTTAATGTCCAAAATATAAAAACAACCCATACAACTCAGCAGCAGGCCAGCAAACAACCCAATTAAAAAATGTGCAGAGAAACTGAATGGACATTTCTCCAAAGAGGACACACAGATGGCCAACAGACATACGAAAACACACTCAATGTCACTAGTCATCAGAGAAATGCCAATTAAAACCACAGTGAGATACCAACTCACACCTGTCAGAATGGCATCATCAATAAATCAACAAACAAGTGTTGGCGAGGATGTGGAGAAAGGGGACCCCTCGTGCACTGTTTGTGGGATTGCAAACTGGTGCAGCCCCTATGGAAAATGGCATGGAGGGTCCTCAAAAGATTAAGAATATGACCCAGCAATTCCACGTCTGGGTATTTATCCAAGGAAATCCAAAACACTAATTCCAAAAGATATCTGCACCCCTGTGTTCACTGCAGCGCTATTTACAGTAGCCAAGATGTAGAAACAACCAAAGTGTCCATCAACAGACGATTGGAAAAATCAGATGTGGCACACATATACAATGGAATATTACTCAGCCATAAAAAGAATGAAATCTTACCATTTGCGACAACATGGATAGATATAGAGGGTATTGTGCTGCGTGAGATAAGTCAAACTGAGAGAGACAAACACCATGTGCTCTCACTTATATGTGGAGTCTAAACACCAGAAAGCGAGTGTGTGGCCACAGAGACCATGGAGGGCGGGGGGCTGAGGGAAGGGGTCACAGGGCACAGCTGGCAGGCATAACGGGGATCAGGACGAGCTGTGCGCGCGGCATGGCAATCAGGTCACAGCACGCCCAGTCGCCCCGGGCACCCTCAGCAGTGGACTTGACCAATCTTATATCAAAATGTTCGAAAAAGCCAACAATCCTGGCAATTTCCCAAACCCCAAACTGACATTGTCGCATGCTGGGCACTCAGCTGAACACACGCAGAAGAAGGGTGGGGGGCGCCCTGCTGCAGCCCACGTTGTGAGCAGGCGTCCCACCGTTTTGTCTGTGGCCTTGGGCAGTCTGGCATTGGGTACCCGTGGGGGCCCTGGACCAGACCCCACGGGACAGAGGGACACTATAGTTATTTACTTAGATGTCATTTCCTCTCATAAGCTTTGGCCAGAACTTGCAAAATGATAGTGGTGGTACATCCGACCTGCAGACATGTGTTTCCTTTTAGCTCACATGGAACTTAAAAAACCAAAACAGCCTAGAATGAGTTAACATGTATAAAATATAGACTTCACATAAAAATTGGAATTTCCGACCTCACCTGAACTATCAGAAGATGTGGGACACTGGGTGCCACTCACTGGGCGTCTGGAGCTGAGTGGTGGCCGCTCCTCTCACGGGGGCGTGCGCTTGCCAAGACACCCCAGTCCCCACCCGATGCTGTGCTACCTGTAGCGCCTTCTTCGCCTCTGGAAATCTTGGGAACCAGTTGGGAAAATATGATGGTGTGTTAACTGTGAGTCACTAAGCACTTGGACTGCTTTAAGTAGTGTCTGGGGACAACGAGAAGGAAAGAACGTGAGGGAAAGCGTAAAGGGAGGATTTTCGAGGTTTAGTGACAATGCAGTGTGGCTGGTCAGGAATAGCAGTGTGACGCTCAGTGGCCAGGTGATGTTCCTGGCAGGCAGGGCTGGTAGTGACTCACGGCTGTCCCCGCGCCGGAGCATAAGCCTGGAGAGATCACGCGCAGCCTCTCTGGGGAGGTGCTTCTTGCCTCAAGGTGGGTCCAACTCAGCGGTACGTTGGTGGCCCAAGGTCCCCGCAGACCAGGCTGCAACCTCATGGAGCTGTGCCCCCTTTACTCTGAGAGCGCGCCCCGTAAAACCTGAACACCAAACCCTCAGTAGGTCATGTCCTGGAGCATTGAGAGTAGATGGTGTTACAACAGGATCAGGTCGCTAAAACCCCAGAGCTGGCCAGCGGAGGGCAGGTGGGCTGTGGGCACTCACGGCGGGTTGCTCACCCTGGGCGGCACACTGATGTCACATGTCAGATGACTTTGATTCTGGGCCAAGCAAGAGTAAGGAGATCAGCAGGAGGCAGGGGACCAGGCGTGGGAAAGCGGCCGGGGCTGGGGTTCAGGTTCCCCAGGGAAGACACAATCCAAGACCCAGGTGGCGGGGAATGTGTCAAGTGCAAATAAGAGCACATCCCTATTCTGGGCACAGCGCCTGCGCTGCTTGTCGCCTCAGCTGGTACAGAACCCCGATGAGTCTACAAAGCGCCCTCAGTGACACTCAGGTCAAATGCAACAGCGGGATTTGCTCTCTGCCATAAGTGGGCCCAGTGGGAGGATGAACCCTCGATGGAAGGACTGTAGGGTTTGTGCCTCTGTACTCACTGCAAGCAGTTC